GAGTTGTAGGGTTTAGGGTTTAGGGTTGTGGGTTCTGGGGTTTTGGGGTTTTGGGTATCAAAGGCGGTTTAGGGTGTAGGGGTTTAGGGTTTGGGGGTGCGCACCACTGTCTTTTTCTACTGGGCAGGGTTTAGGGTGCAGGGGTTTAGGGTTTAGGGTTTAGGGCTTTTCATATGCGTGACTTTAGGGTTTAGGGCTGTGCATATAGGTGACTTTGCAAAGGCGGTTTGTCGAGTGCCGTATGGCAAGTGATGTGGACTCACCCTAAGCCCTAAACCCTAAACCCTAAACCCTAATCTTCCCCCTCCTTGGACAAGGTTTATCTTAGCAAGGATGGAGGCCGTCAGAACAAGTTAGGAACCCCAAGAGGACACAAGCGCATAAGCATGTGATAGGGATATAACTGGTTTAGGGTTAAGGGTTTAGGGTTTAGGGTTTAGGGCCCTACCTTATTGGGCTTCATGATAGGGGGATTTCTATGGGAGATCCCTATCCTAATTTTGCTTCTGTGCTTTTTTGGGGGGGGCCTAACGAGGGGGTTTCATCACCCCGGTGTTCCCGGCAAATGTTTCTCGAAGTTGGCCACCTGTTCTGACAACTCCAGGTGATGCCCAGGAGGAAAAGCTGGGACTGATGTCACCTGGCTGACAATGTAGGGGTTTGAGGAACTACTGATGCGATTCCTTGGGGTTCATCTTAGACATCAACGTCTACGACTACTGCTGCTGCTGCTGATGCTGATGCTGCTTCGACGACGACGACCACCACAACGACGACTGCTACCAGTACTACATGAATACCACGGCTAACAAGGAAAGCAGATGGATTAACAACCAACACCATCACATCATCGGCAGCATCACGACATACAACTACTGAAAAAGCAAGGACATGTCCTGTACTCTCAAGCAAATACCAGTCAGGTATAAGACTATTCCGCTTCACCACCATCATCACCTTCGCCATCCACCCAAAACAGCGCAGCGAATATAGCAGCCTTGGTCAGTAGAGGCGGGCGTTGCGGTGCTTTCTGTAGTTATGTCCTTCGAGTACGGCGGTTGAGGTCTTCCCCCCAGTTTAAAGCGTTTAAAGCTTCCAGCCCCTGAACTTGAACACAAACTCAAGTTTAGTTATTAAGGGCCCTGTACTTACTTGTCCAGTATCCTAGAAGAATTGAAGGTTGACCTTTTAAAGGTTACATACCTACTCTACTGCTAAGTGTAGATCGGGTTTAGGGTTTAGGGTTTAGGGTTTAGGATTTACGGTGAAAGCTTAGGGTTTAGGACTTAGGGTGTAGGATCTAGGGTGTAGGGTCTGGGGTTGCCAGGCAGGAGGACGGCAAAGCCGAAAAGGCCGCGGAGGGCGACGAGCGCCTGGGCTGATACCCGTTAGTTTTCCAAAGCCCTGTGCACACTTTAAAGGACCATCTACCCTGAGGGTCCAAAGGACGCACTGTTTGGGGTTAGGGTCATACAGACTCTATAAGTGATCTATACGGTGTTGTTGAATTTGTTGCTGAGGGCTTGGTAGGTTGATATTTGGCTCACTCTATGATTATTGGGTACTTGGACTCCTAGGGCTATAGACAGGTTTAGGGTAATGCCGGACCCAGTTTTATTCCGAAGGGCTCCCTTTTATAACTAAAAAAGGATCATGGTACTTAGCAAGTAACGTTATAAGTCCCTTCAATTGGGGTTATAAGTATAGTTACCTTAGTTATAACCCTGCTTACTAAGTCCCATGATCCTGTGAGGAGACTATATAACCCTAAACCCTAAACCCTAAACCCTAAACCCTAAACCCTAATATAGCGTATCCCGACACCTTGTTCTAATACAGAGTCTCCGGCAGTCGAGGAGCATCCAAAGATTATATGGGTGGTTGTCAAAATTATGGTCATTTGGTTTAGGGTTTAGGGTTTAGGGTTTAGGGTTTTTGGGTCCTTATTATAATACGGCACCTATTATTTAGGGTACCCCAAAAGGGACCCTAATTTTGACAACTACCCATATGTTGTTCTGCTCTGCTCTCTGAGGTTATGGTATCCTATGTTGTATTTTGTCAAGACTAAGTATTGATGTGATGTCATACAGCATCCATACAGTAGGCTTTCCCGAGCAGGGATCCTTATAATGAAGCTCGAATTGCTTCTTACAGCTCCTAAACCCTAAACCCTGAACTCTAAACCCTGAACCCCAAACCTCTCTACCTACAGTAAATTTCAATTTTATAGTCTTCGTGGCTTTGGGTCATAACTCGTCGCTTTGGGTCATAACTCGTGGCTGGCTTCACGGCTCTGGGCTGGCTCTAGGGTTTACGGTTTAGGGTTCTGGATTGGCCTAGGGTTTAGGGCCTGTTGCAGTGTCAGGCTTTGTCAGGGGGAAGGCTGGGCTGGGCTGCTGGGCTGGCGGCTGGCTGGGCTGGGAGGAGTTGGGGGGCTGTGGGGGCTGGTGGGTGGGTGTTCACGTGGGCTGGCTGGGGCTGGCCGGGGCTTCCTGGCTGGCTTGGCTGGGCTGGCCATTCGGGTTGCATTGGGGCTGGGGTGGGTGGGCTGCTGGGCTGCTGGGGCCTGGGCTGGGGTGGGCGGCTTGGGCTGGGCTTGGGTAGGCTGAAAGTTTTGACCGAAACGTTTCTTTCAAATTGTGTCTTGGCAAATGCCACGACCTCCCCCGCGCCCAGCCTAACAATAGAGGGAGAGGCAGAGGTACTCTCCAGCCCAAAACAATTGTGCGAGTACAGGACCTATGCACTCGAAAATCGAACTCTTCATCGTAATCTGGCAGCGCATGGTGTCCATCGATGCGATTCATTCTTGCTATTGCGACTCGCATTCGTAGTTTCTCTTGAGAGCTTGAGCTAAGTGACACACGCAAGCGGGCAACGACCGTGCACACCTCACAGTATTACCACCTGCCGAGGCTTACGCACGTAGGTTGGCTGACACTTCGCATCTTGGTACACCTGTAGATGAATCGTGATGTTGTGCGAGCTGGTCGCGCCGTTCGTATTGTTGTTTGTCTGGCTCGCGACTCAGTTTCTGATTGAACAGGGACTTCTCTCATACTATCGGCCTCGCCGCGTCTACGATGTGTGGCGCCGCTGGTGCTGGCCTTATGTGGCATTTTGGCGAGGACTGGGGTGATCCGTTCATTGCCGGACTTGCGTTACGTTAGTGGTATACTTTGCTGTAGTTCTTTTGGTATACCAAGGTCAGTGAAGGAGGGGGTTGGGACTTGTTTGCGGAGTTGGGTTGCTCAGCACGATTACACCGTGCATCAGCGGTGGATCGTCATGGTGTGCCTGCTTGTTTGTGGCTGCTCCCGCGAAGCAGACTGGCATCGAGAGTGAGTGCGTCGTGAACTTATCCGTGTGTACATCTGGCAATGCGGATCCTATCTTCGAAGCAGTTGTCGTCTTTCGGGCACGATCCCAGAAGCGTCATCTCAACACTTGAGAACGTCAGGAAGGGCGGCATGATGCGCAGTCTGAAAGCAATTGTATTGTTGGAAGGCGTGGATCACCGCCGGCAAGGTGTCAGATCGAGTTCTTGTTCTGAAGCGGATCGCCTCGAGTCGTATGCGATGTGGCCTGTGTTCAGTTTGTTCGGTTCGCTTCATGTTGGCATAATCAGGTCAGTGACGCCACTTGAAGTTTCAGGCTCTGGAGCTAGGGGCAAAGTGTGGACAGTTTTCTGCCTAGCTGCCTGGGCGTACGCTGAACTGGTCACTGGGAACCGCCCTGTCCTGCATAACTTTGCGACCCTAACAACCAAACCAACCAGCAACACCTCTGAGCCTCGCAGGTACTTGTTGACTTTACACCCCAGCCCATCCCAGCAGCTCACCAGCAGCCCAGCCAGCCCTGTTTAGCCCACCAGCCAACTCTAAGACCATCCAGGTCAAAAGACAACCTGCTCAAAACTTTCGGTCAAAATAACTCCGTCAAAACTTTCGGTCAAAACGCTATTCGCACTCACCCTTAACAACTTCGACAAACCCTGATCCCTACACCCTGCACCCTAAACTCATAAATCCCAAAGCCTAAACGCCGAAGTCTAAATCCCTTGACCGACGGTTTGAAGGATCCTGAACTAAGTAGTTCAGAGCGGCTATCCATCTAGCTTTAGGGGTTTGGGGTTCACTGTTAAGAGGTTTAGGAGTTCAGGGTTTAGGGGTTTAGAGTTCAGGGGTTTTGGTGTTTTGTGTACCGTTTTCCTTCTTGTTCTGAATGGTCCTCAGTCTTTCATCAGCACGGTCTAGGAGTTGAGGTTTCTAGTATTTCGGTAGAGTTGATGTTTCCCTGTTCAGGGAAGCAAGATTCGACAGGCCACGGACTGCTCAACATTCGAGTGTCATCCTACGCCCCCATCCTTGTGTCTGTAAGCCGCACGACGCTATGCCCATGACCTGCAAGAGCTGGAGTCGTATTGAAAAGGTCACAGCCCAGTCATCTTTTCCTGATTACGTGAGCCGGCAAGCCTTGTCGTTTGTATATGTAAAGAGATAGTTATAAGTAGAAATACAAAGTTATAAGTAGAATTACAAATAAACATGTAAAGATGTATTAACATATAAATACATGAAAAATTATATATATATATATATATATGTATGAATATTAATATGCACATGCATGGCTCTCCTACGGTCGTCAACATATGCGGAGTGCTTGCAGACAGCTGCTGTAAGTGCTATGTTCTGCTCAAAGGGTCAGTGGACTTGAAAAGGTTTAGGGTTTAGGGTTTCCAGGAAGTTAAGGTGACCGCAACGCGTATCTGTTCATGTCCCAATGAAGGTGCTTATGAAAGCAATGGGGCCTCACATAATTCGATGGTAGTTCGGGCTGTTTACATACCTACTTGCTATTTCCCCTGAACCTCCAAACCCAAGCTCACCCAAACGGTAAAACCAAACTAAGCCCTTACAGCAACCGTATAGTGTAGATCTTTTTGGTAGCCTTATTGCACCCTTGTACCAACCTTACTAATGCCTTCGTGTCAGGTGGGGCAGCGACGTCTTTGGCCAATCACCGCCCGAGTCCGGTCACTCTCCAACCCTTCCAGTTCTGCCGAGCAAGTACTGTGCCTTGGAGTAAAGGACCGCCATGAAGAACCTAGGTAATGCTTGAATCGTGAGAAGTGCCAAGACTTACAAGGTTGACGGGTAATGAAGACAGGTGATGTTGAATCATGTGGCGTAGATTCAGTGGTTTTGCGTGAGGTTTAGGGTTTAGGAGGTATAGGATTCAGACAGGTTCAGGCTTCAGAGCTGCTGTAGTGAAGATATCACCATTTCACTGAAGGTTCCTCTTCATTATCTACACTTTGGCCGTTGTCCTGTCAAGAGCCATTCAGTTTAACAGCATTGCCCCACCCCAACGACCATACCCTAAACCCCTACACCCAAAATCCTCCAACTTGAACTTCAATTACCTCTATGCAACGCTAAGCTCCGACGATTAGGACCACATGCATGGTCTCGTCACGTTAGGGATATCCTGGGGACGTGGTTTAGGATTTCAAGGTCGTTAAAGTATATTTGGAGGACCATGCGACTTAGCAAGTAAGCAAGCTTATAAGACGTGGGGTGATAAGCAACTATAAGTTTAGATACCTTACGAATATTGCTAGTCCCCATGACCCTTTAAGTACGGATGCAGGACAGTTGGTCCCGCATTACCACAGACAAGACACCCTTTGATTGAGGGTTATGCCTCAAATCATCGGGGAACTACTACTATGAGTCGAGGCCTATTCCTCGAATAAGGGGCATTGTGCTCTATAATGGGAATTGAGTCTTTTGTATCAGTTCAATGTTGGGCTCTGAGTCATAAGCCCTTTGTCAAACTTTCTATTGTTGGGACCCCCACCATAACCCCAAACCCTAAACCCTAAACCCTAAACCCTAAACTCTAAACCCTAAACCCTAAACCCTAAACCCTAAACCCTAAACCCTAAACCCTACCCGTGGGAGGAGGGTTGGTTCGCCGGGGGCCCACGGTATTTTTTGAGTTGATGCAGAGGTTAGTCAGCCTTCTGAGCCTTGTAAGGGGGTACTACGAGTAGTAGTTTGGGTTTAGGGTTTAGGGTTACCGGGTTTGCCTTGCTAGTTGTTAGTGATGAAAACGACTCGCTGCCGCTGTTAATTTGCAACCGCGGTCTTGTCTTCTACTTTCTAGCTCCCCCAGGCATGCAAGCAGTGATGGTTCGAGGCTTCACGCAGTCGGTGTTGTCCCCCAGTGTTTGATTCTACTTGAAGGTTCATGTGACTTAGTACATCGGGTCTCAGTCGGGCGGTAATTACGACCCTAAACCCCTAAACCCTAAACCCCTGCAACCCCTAACCCTAAACCCTGGATGTCGTTCGTTGCCCTTGCAACCTACTTGTTCAGTCTTTTTAGTTCAGCCTCGAAGAAGTGCAGTTCATTACTTGGTCAGCTTGTGCCGACGCTCTTTAGCTAAACTCCAACCCCGAAACTTTAACCCCCAAACCCTAAACCCTTAAACCCCCGAACCCTAAACCCTAAACCCCGAAAGACAGCCTCAGCGGATCGAGGCACAAGCAAGATCGAATCCTCGTCTTGCAGGTTCCTGCGGCAACTTACTTCCCCCAATAAGCCAGGGGTTTAGGGTTTAGGGTTTAGGGTTTAGGGAGGGAAACAAAAGGTTAAGTTTTCAGATTGCTACTGAGTTATAAGAACCCAAGAAGTTTAAAGGTTGGGTATTGGAGAACTAAGGCAAAGAGATTCGGGATTTAGGACGAACGCCCTCCCTCAATAAACCTATCGTGGGATCCAGGGTTCTGGGATGAATGGAGTTCGGATTCAGGGGCCACAGGGCTCCTTCATATGGGTGGTTGTCAAGATTATGGTCCCTTTTTGGGTCCGTATTATAATGCGGCACCTATTTTTTAGGGTACCCCAAAAGGGACCATAATTTTGACAACTACCCATATACTTACTCTCCTAGAAAACACGGGCCCAAAACCGTACTTTAATTATCAAGGACCAAACAAACCCTCAACTCAGTCGTAAGCTCATGATGGAACCCTAAAGCTTAAACCCTAGTCCCTAAACCGGATGGAACCCTTGGAAGCAAGCTTTGGCTCCAATCCTCAAAGCTCCCTTCTTGGAGGATCATGGGACTTAGTAAGTAAGGTTATAAGTCCCTTAATTGGGGGTTACAAGTAATTATAAGCATAGTTACCTTAATTATAACCCTACTTACTAAGTCCCATGATCCTCTAAGCAACCCTAAACCCTAAACCCCAAACCCCAAACCACAAACCCTAAACCCTAAACCCCTAAACCCCTAAACCCTACTTACTAAGTCCCATGATCCTTTAAGTTTTGCAGGTAGGATCTCCAGCTCAGGGGGGGGTTCTCGGACAAGGGTAGAGTTTAGGGTTTAGGGTTTAAACCCTACCCTAACCCTCCAGGTGCCTACTCTATCGGGCCCTAGAACCTCTAGTGCCCTCTATAGTAGATACCTGGAGGGTTAGGGCTAACCCTAAACCCTTGACCTTGAACCTTAAACCCTAAACCGTAAACCCTAAACCCTCAACCCTAAACCCTAAGCCCTAAACCGGAACCCTAAACCCTAAACCCTAAACTCTAAACCCTAAACCCTAAAGCCTGTGCATTTAGTAGTAGAGGCTTTAAAGGAACCCTTCGCGTTTCCGTATAAGGACTCCTTCAAGGGGTCCTTGAAGGTAGGGTTTAGGGTTCATAGTTTTGGGATTTAGGGTGTAAGGGTTTCTGTAAGGACTGCTTTAAGGGATCTTTTAAGCAACTTGCAAGGTTTTCCATAAGGGTTCCCTAAACCCTAAACCCTAAAACCCTAAACCCTAAACCCTAAACCCTAAACCCAACCCTAAAGTTCTTCAGGGTTCTGGGAGGAGTCAGATCTCGGGTTGCAGGCTTCGGTTCAGAGTTTAGGGCTCAAGGTTCGAATATTTAAAGGATCATGGGACTTAGTAAGTAGGGTTTAGGGGTTTAGGGTTTAGGGTTTAGGGTTTGGGGTTTGGGGCTTAAGGTTTAGGGGTTTAGGGTTTAGGGTTGCTTAAAGGACCATGAGAATTAGTAAGTAGGGTTACAAGTAAGGTAACTATACTTATAACCCCAATTAGGGGACTTATAACCTTACTTGCTAAGTCCCATGATCCTCCAAGTATAGGGGACTTCCCTAATTGGAACGGAGTTCCTGCAAAAAGGCCTTTGTTAGGCTTCTAAATGGGGGGGGTTTAGGGTTTAGGGTTGACGATTTTTAGTCAGGGTAAGTCGGCTTCCGTGCAAGTCCCCAAACCCTACACCCCTCATACCGAACTTATGAGCACGAAAAGTATGGTGTGGGGTTTTGGGTTTTGGGTTTGGGGTTTATGAGCACTTAACCCTAAACCTTAAGTCCTTTAAAGCTTTATGGGCCCCTCAACGGAAGCCCCCAAAGCCCTGAAGCCCCAAGCCCTAGATTCCTGGATTCCAAACTCCTACTGTTGATGGACAAAATTCTGCATGACCCAAATATAGTATAGTACCATAAAATCCCGTAGTTTAGATATATAAGGTCATGCAGGATTTTGTCCATCAACCGTAGTATAGGGGCCTTAATACTTAGAATACGGTTTCGGTGTATATTACACTATAGGGAAAATAAGGAACCCTCAGCATAGTATTGGTAATTATTTAGGCCCCTATATCACGCCCATAAACCCTGGACCTAAACCTTAGCATACCAAGAGTACTTGGAGGATCATGGGACTTAGTAAGTAAGGTTATAAGTCCCTCAATTGGGGTTAGAAGTAAGTATAAGTACAGTTACCTTAATTATAACCCTACTTACTAAGTCCCATGATCCTTTAAGTACAGACACAGACCCGTTTTGAACCCCGCCCGGAGATCCCATAGCCTCGTTTCGGCGCCAACCAAGCCTGAATGCCCAGGATTAACGACTCCTTGGCCTGAAGTGCCGTTTAGGCTGTAGGATTTAGGGCTCTGGGTTTAGGGTTTAGGGCTCAGGGTTTAGGCTTTAGGGTTTGGGGTTTAGGGCTCAGGGTTTAGGGTTTAGGGCTTAGGGCTCAGGGTTTAGGGTTTAGGGAACCTAACCTTGAACGCCTTGCAGAGCGAATGAAGATCCTAGGTACCCGAAAGCCCCATACTTACCCTACGCCACCCTGCAAAAATGCCATGGCCCCAAGTACCCGAAAGCCTTCTACCGGCAGGCTTTTCGACTGTGCGACGTCACGGGGTCCTTCCTCCTGCAACACCACGGAAACTTGGAGTGTTTATGAACATTCAGCACAGAGCGCAGCTACCTTTACAGTGAGGTCCCAGCCTTAAAGCATTGACTGGTTGCCGGTTTTGATGTGTGTCAACGAACAGTAACCCAAAGAAAAAATGCTGATGGGCACAGGTCCTGCGTTAAATTCAATCCTAAAGGGTAAAAGGACCTCTACATCTATAGCAGCTACTGTCCGGGTTACTGTACACGCACCCATACGGTTTAGGGGTTGAGGGTTTCGCGATTAAGTAGGTATTACACTACCAGCCACGCCCTAGTAAACCGTATGAGCGGTTTCAAACACCTCTTTCGGGACCGCAAAGCCTACATGCGGAACTCGTTAATGGGTAGTTATAAATCATAACTGGGGTTTTAAGTTAGGTAACTATAATTATAACCTATATTAGGGGACTTAGAACCCTACTTATAACTACCCATGAACCTCTAAGCACCCTGTTCCCCTAACTCCGCTACACTGCACCAAAGATTTAACTCTTCAGCCCTTCACTACAGGCTCCTGAAGTCTACCCACCCCAAACTCCTTGAGTCCTTGTCCCTGAAACTTGGTGTTCTTCTGGTTGGCTCTTAGGACTTTAACTTTTGGGTTCCTATATAAAACATGATAGGGAGACTAAAAGTTTAACTTGTTGGAGGGGTTCAGAAGTCAGCGAAGGAAAGTTTAGGGTTTATTGCGGAGAATATGGAATCTTACTTCACAGTTGAAGGATTCCTAAGCAAGATATCTTACTCAGACCTTCCGGAATGCTATATAATATTATCAAGCCTAAACCCTCTGCCTTAAGCCACCCCTAAAGCCCTAAAGCCCTAATCCCCCAGACCCCGTAAACCCCCAAGGATTACACGTGCCACTGCAAGCCGGGTTACTGCTCAGACGGAAAAGGCTGGGGACTGGGGAGGGGGCCAGCGGCATGTAATTAAAAGGCTCCTGAGGCCCACCTGCCAATGTCCTTTAATGAAGGAAGATACCTCAACCCATGTTTTGGACCATAGTATAATTTGAGGTATAGTCTTTAATTAAGGAATATGGGAAGAATCATGTTCGGGATCCTACCACAATTTAAACGCTTCGCGTCCTCCGCCTCGGCCCGGCCAAAGAGGGCCAGCAAACTGCCGGTGTTTTGAAGGTGTCGTTGGCAGAGCGGACGAGGACCGGGAAGGGGAGGAGATTGCGTAGAAAGGAAAAGTGGGGCGAACAGCGGGGGCGAGGGGCGGGCCAAGAGGCAGTGGGTGGGACTCCCTACAGAGAGCCCAAATCCATTGGAGGAGGCGAGATATCACCGCAGGACCTTGGGGCTATTTATGGGTTCACCCAGACGAACCTTCCCCCAATGATTTTGCATTCGATTAGGCGAATTTAAAGTATATTCCTTCCCTATTCCCTCAGGAATATTGAAGGCCTTGAGGTACCGGGAAATCGACACCCAGGAAGAGGATCCCGGTGAAACCAATTAGGTAGTCCCTTCATCCTTCAACTTGGAGGTTCGTGGGCCATGGGTAGTTTTAAGTAGGCTTCTAAGTCCCCGAGTATGGGACATATATAGTTATAGATACCCGACTTATAACCCCACTTATAACGACCCATGGACCCCCAAGAAGTAGGATTTGATGGCCTCAGGCATGTTTTTGTTCTTCATGCAGGGTTTCAGGTCCAGAATTGGATGTCTGATGATTTCGATTTTTCCAGTCCAGAGTAGTGTTGAAGCCGGGGTTGATTGTCGAAATTTGCGGTGTGTAGATGGGCCTTCTGATTATACGTGGCAGTGAGCCTTTCTGGTCTAGGTGATGCTAGTACAGTATAAATGCGACGAAACCTGCTTCCTCTGACCCTTCTTATATCTATCTATATATATCTATATATCTATA